AAATGCTCGTAAGTGGGACTGCTTGCCACCCGCGATTTTAGTGTTCATAAAAGTTGACGTACGAAGGCAGGGTTGATCAGTCTAGCTAGTAGATCAAAATTTCCATATCAAACGTGCATATAAATGATATTGACGGAGGCTAAAATTTTGTCTGAAGAGAAGAAAATGTTGTGTCTAATGGTTAGTTAAATAGCAAGGATGTTGGTTAAGACAAACGACTGGAAGTGCGACAAAATCGAAGACACTGAAATTAAAGCCGGTATATGTCTCGCCGTGTTAAACAGAAGATAGTGGATTAAGACTACGAGAACGACGCAAAAGCCTAACAAATTGTCCTACCAATGTATCAGCTAAAGAAGTCTGGCTCGCATTAAAACATTATGCGAAAGTCCATAAACGAACCTGAACCATTTTCCTTTGTCTCCGACCGTCCTTTGCCTCGTGAAGAAGAGTGTGACAATCACTGTAACACGAGTCCAGGCCTTCCCTGAATCCAAATGGTTCTTTTAGGTTATCATCCCCAAAAAGCCCTGCAGTTTAACCGCATATACATCAGGGTAAGTAAGCATACCAGTAACTTTTTCCCCGGAAACTTCAATATTTTGGGGGCCATAATTAAAAGCATCGGCGAGCGGTGACAGTTTTATGGACCGAAAGCGCCGAGCATCAGATAAAGCCTGTCTTCGAAGGCGAAGTGTGAAAAGCCTCAACATTTTTGTAGTAGGCAGTTAGTTAAAGGCTCATTTAAACGCATAGTAATTGCAAAGCCAACTCAATTACTTTTTTGAGTCACTGATATATTATGGGGTATGTTCACATGACATATTGTAACTAATTCAATTGCTTGATTTTAATTACCATTACTGAAGTAACGGTCTAGCATAATTCAAAATTCGTCATCGATTTTCAATCATGAATTGAATGGGTTTCATTTATGTTTTTGGTGCACATTCTCCATCGATACCCAAATATCGGATCGAAGGGTTTGCCAACTGCTCGTGAGATTTACTTTTTCACTTTCTCAGTTCGACGCTATTAGTTTTATGTTACGTTTTTCCTTTTGCCTGACGTGTCATTTTCTAGTAAGATGGCGTAGGAACGGTCTGAATATTTTTCAATTCACTTCTGTTAAGAAAAGATAGGCGAACGCAATATGGGTTCTTAATTGGCCAAGAGAAGCATTAATCTAGGATGCAAATTCTGAATAATGGTTGTTTACAGTCGGCTTACTGCGTCCAGGTTGGCGGATTCCATACGTGCAGTAAAGCTGGGCAAGCAAATCGACACAATTTTGATTCCATTCACAGCGCATGGTGATGCTCGTAGTTAAATGGTAGAGCGTTGGCTGCCCTAAAGCCTTCCCTCCTGTGTCGGTTCGACTCCTACCGAGGCATCCCGCGATATTTACTTAAGAATAGAAGTGCTCCGTCGGGAAACTTGTAAATTTAATGCGGAAGGTGTCTAGGCTGGTTCCTCATCTGGTCGTCAGATTATGAGATATGTATAGGAACCATTAACGTAATTAACCATGCCTGAAAAATGAGGCTAGAATTGGTGGAAGTTTGTACCAACTGGCGTAGCAGATCTCTCGTCATCCCACCGTGGTAGGCCACGCATGTTGAATTTTTTCCGTGAGATACTTGTAGCTAGAATAGAAATTAATATGTGTATTGCTTCCAAGGATTCACGGCTTTTTCTGGTTGGGAAAGCGCCAACAATCAGTGCGAATTTGTGACCGGTTTTTCGTGCATGCCTGGGATAAATGGTCTCGTTTTCTGACCGCCAATTGATGTTCGTGATTGTGGGTATTTCCAAGTTTTTCCACAATAAACTGCATCGCAACTGGCACCCAGGATAGCGTAGACAACACCATCTCTTTCAAAGTAGCCAAAGCTGTCCTTAGGTTGTAGAGGTTTGAATGTAAGATGGTTGCGGGCTGGTGCGCTACTTGTTCCTGATGTTTTCTAACTTGTCTTTCGACAAGCTCAGACACACTCTTCACTTTTAGCGGGCACTCGCCATGTCATTGCTTTTGATGCCTGGGTGGCCGTATCAGTTACAAATGCACTGACACAGGAAGTTTTATGAATATCTATTTAAATGAATAGTTGAAAAAGGTATGCTTATTCTGCTTGATCCCTTTCTTCGTCAGAGCAGTGTGATTTGATTCGATTTAGGAGGCTGTAGACAGAACTCCTTTTACAAGAGTCTGGTGGTTTCTCTCAAACTGCAGGATGACATCTGAATATGTTTCTATGTTATTAATAGATGCACGGAGTGATCCATCAGTATTTCGATGCATAAAGGCATCCGGAAATGGACGATGTGCATCAACCTCCGTTTCAAATGTAAATTCAATTCCTGGAAATGTGGAAGTTAGCTTCTTTTACAGCTGCATATGATTCTTCTTGATGATGAAAAAATTGTCATCTACATAGCGCAACCATAATTTCGGTTTAGTTGTAGGAAGATCTATTGATTTCAGCTACTGTATTACGGCTTCGGAGAGAAAATATGCAATATATTAACTTGGGTGACGATACGAGGCCTAGATACATTATCCCCATTCCCATCCTGCGG